CTTTCGTTTCTCTTACGTTCGTAACGTACAGTTTCGGCCCATCACTAGCTCGATGCCACAGAAAAGTGTCTGGCAAAAATGTTCAATGTATTTCGTTACAGACAGACTACAAAGTAAACATACATGATTTTTAGTTTTGAAAACTTAGCTAGATTTGCTATACTACGTAGTATTATGGTGTACACAAAGGACCTAAACATATGGCTTCTATTCCGTTCTCTGAAGAAGCATCTCGTCATGAAGGCTTGAATTTCTATTACACACAATAAGTTGATCACAAAAAATGTCTACATAAACGATTCAGATTAGTGTATTTGAGTTTCTGCATCATTATGAGCTTAATTACTATTGAAAAACGAATTCAATTTAAACAATAAGTTCCAATCTCCAATATAAGTTTTAATTTTACAACTTCGATCGGAATACCATCGGTACAAGCAATGGATTGATAATCAACGATATATCCAACAATTTTGATAGATACCATTTTCGATATTCATCTATCAATTTAAGTTTAATTATTATTTTACAGTAGGCATTAGCAAGATTTTTTTGTTCTTGGGGACTAGTATTGTAAAGTACAAAATTGCAACATCCTTTGACGGATATTCTTTAACATTGTTTCTTCGAGCGAAACTATCAATGATTTTTTTTTTGATTATGTTGCATTTATTTCGATGGTTATTCCATTTGAAAGCGCTTACAACCGAGCTGTTAAGACATAAATATGAAGGTGATGCAAGAAACATCTAACAAAAAAAAAAGAGTCACTGAAAGAATACCACTAAAAGATGTAATTAAACAAAAAAATTCAGGATCAATGAAAATAATGTAAAATGTAATGAAATAAAAAAAAGGGTATGGGTACGGGAAGTGTGAATAAACATCGGTGATCGCACAACCACACCCATTCTCCTTTGATGATAATAGTGGAATATGTCGAAAAATCAACAATAAAACAAATCTAGAAAACTATCTCAAATATGTTTAAGGAATAAAAATAATTAGTTTATTTGGCAGTTTAGTCACAAAAGAACGAACTAATTTTCATCTATCGACATCAATGGATTCACCTAGATTTTGTTGCAATATCGTACCAATGAATTTCGCCATATATTTTTTTTCTATACATTCGCTTGTATGAAATAATTTCATTCCTTATTGTCTCATGTCGATGATTCCAGACCTAGAAAACAAGCGAATCTTGACCTGAATCGACAAGAAAGATGCGAAAAATCGTCGTATCCGACAGGAAAATATCAGAAATGGATGGAATTTAGAAGCAGTATTCCTGATCGGAAAGTCTTTGGATTTTTCAACTGACTTTCGACCTTGTTGACTTGAGATATTGTCATAAAAACAAAAGCAACATATCTATCGGACGGCTAATGGTACATTGGTATTAGGCAGAGATGCAGAATCTACCCGTGTGCGCGTACGGCCGTACGGGGAAATTGTTGAAAATTTATTAGCATCTGGGGAAATTTTTTGGAAAATATTTTTCCCTCGTAGGAAAATAATTTTCCCTCGTAAGAAAAATCTTACAGTTTTCCAAACAAATCTTAGTTTATTAATATCTGCATCAATAAGATCTTGCATCTTTTTTCTTTCTTTTATTTTTGTTAAACTTAAAAAGAATCATCCGTGTCTTTCTCGTAGTGCCAATATCGTCTATTTTTGTTTACGGTGATCCTGCATCTTACTACTTTTCCTTCGCTCTTTCTCTTTGTGCGAATTTATCACACAAAACACACTATTTGTTTTCTTCTCTTTTCATTCTGTTCTTTTCCCTAATGCGATGTCACTACTTGCCGTCTTTTCTCTGTTGGTACATATTATTTGTTATTGTGTGCACGTATGCGTACACGACCGCTAGAATGACTAATACATAGTCACACAGTAGATGATGAACAAGATGATCCTTATTCACTGGCAAATCCTTTCTCGTCTCTCATTTTTGTTTTATCTACTTTTTTTTAGACCTTTAACATATCTGAATAAGGGTGTGGGTGTGAGTGTGGGGTGTTAAGTGTGGGTGTGCGGTGTGGGTGTGTGGGTGTGTGGGTGTGGGTATGGGTGTGTGGGTGTGGGTGTGGATGTGAGTGTGGGTGCACATGTCGTCGAAAAACTATCCACACCCACACCCACACACCCACACCCACACACCCACACCCACACACCCACACCCACACACCCACACCCACACACCCACACACCCACACACCCAGACACCCACACCCACCCACATCCACATCCACACCCCACACCCACACCCACA